AGCCCGACTTGGACAATGGAGGAACTCCTATCACAGCTTGGATCATTGAGCGCGACGACGGCACTGCTGATCTCAACACTTACTCTAATACGGTGTTCTCCCAAATACATCGACTTGAGGCATTCGGATCGCGAATGTCTTTCGTGGACTTGCCCCGAGTAGAAGAGGCTACCGGTTGGTGTCCTTCCTGTCCAGTGCGGTACCGCTACAGAGTGCGGCCCGTGAACATGGCCGGGGAGTCGAGATGGGCCTCGGCTATCCATGATGCTTGGATGGTTCCTACACCGGACCAGCCGTCCGCATCTCTAGTCCATGACGTCAATGGTGGTCCCTGTCTTATCCTGGCATGGACCGACACCCCCCACGTCGAGTTCTATCAGGTGACACTTCACTTCTTTCAGAATCCCCCTGCATGCTTCTATCAGATACGAGGGGGGAGCTCCGACTTGAGCGACTTGGGAGAATCGTCCGAGTCGATTCTCGTGAATAATACGCAAGCCCTTCAGTGGACCTTCTGCCCGAGCAACCAGTCTCTGGGAAAGCGCTACATGTTCTCGGTAGGCGTTAGCATATCCTCAACTCCGTTTCCTGTCTATCGTACGACGGAACCGTCGAAACGCCTTGTTGAAGTTGGGCCCTAGCAGACCTATCAGATACGTGGTGTGAATCTCGCCGGGAATGGAGGCCCGTGGAGTCCGTACGTTGCCGGATTCGCAGCAGGTGTTCCTTCCCCATGCACTCAGCTGCATTTAGTTGACGCTGATTGCTATCGTGGAGCCAATATCACCAATCGTTGCAATACTCTTGACTTTGATATTCCGCCCAACACCAACGCGGCGAATACCACGACATGCAATAAGCTCGCCTGGCAGCCTTCTGAAGATGACGGTGGATGCGGCTTAGTGGCGTATCAAGTGTTCCGTGAGGGTTCCCTCATTGCTGAGGTTCCAGGAAGCAACATTCACTTTAGTGACTTGGACACTAGTCTTGTCTGTGGTCAAGAATACAACTATGCTATCCGAGCGCTCAACTGTAGGGGAGATGAGAGCAGTCCATTGGTGAACGTCACCGTTCGGCAAGGCGCCAGTCCATTGCCCCTATGTAGAGACTTCGTTGAATCTGCGGAAGGTTGGGTCTGTGATGGTAACGGTCTCTCGGCCAAGCCTGCTTCTACAACGTCGCTGAACTACAGTTGGCCGCGCTTGGGTTCCGCCGTATCGCTCCGAGAAGATTGGCAGTCGGGTTTCGCTGTCAATGAGAGTATCCTGGGTTATATCTTATCGCATGACGATGGTCTTATGGGGAACATGGAAGTCGTCTATGATGGAGTTGGCTGGCCTTCACGAACGTTCTATATTCAGAAGAATCTGACCCCTGGGCTGACGTACAGGGCAACTGTTAGGGCTGTCACTAC